ATATGTTTCCCCACCATCGTTAACTTCTACCTCCCAGGTCCCTCCTCTTTTGTCACCTTCCCATTTCCACCCTCATTTTTGCCCCACCCACATCTAGAGATGAGAGAATCTCTCTAATAAACCAAATGACTGAGGTTTATATTTTGTAATAAATTCTTCAAGACAGTCCTTCAGGCAACAAAGATTGTTTGCACACTTAACCATGAACACTATACATTAAGAAACCAAAGGGCTAAACAATAGTTTTCAGTGCAGGTGACACAATACTCAACCGTTGAATCACAAATTTTGGACTGAAAAGTACAGATAGTTGGGCCTGAAAATAGCATCAAGAAATCGAAAAGTGGTAAGTGTATAATGAGTTATACTAAAGTTCAGAACAACCAGATGCATAAGCATGAAAGAGGGAGAACTGACTTAAGGTAGGTCATGTGAAAAAGCCTAGCAGGGGCCAAAGGTGTGACACAATTGCACACATGTGGACTTCAGCAGTAGTAGTCATGATAGCTAATATCCATTTGTTACCAAATTAGGTTGTATGGACCACACTTGAGCCCTAGCCCAGCCCAGGCCCCTGCCTCAGTGGGGAAGGTTCTTTTTCTGTTGGGGGTTCATGCAGCCAAAAATGAGGTCGAAGCTGAGATCAAAGCTTTATTCAATGGCCAGAGAATAGAGACTTGGGAACTTAGGTCATAAATCAACTTCTTACGCAGGGGACGATTGAGGTTAGATTTTTAAGGGCAAGGTTAATGAGGGGAGGCATATGCAGTGCTTTTCTGGAAATAGGCAGGGTCTTCCTGGAACTGGGGCGCCACCTCTTTTCTGCCCCTGTGTGGTCCTTTGGCATCTGTGTCAGAAGCAGTTTGAACCATCATGGCGTGGACAGGTGGAGATCTTACTCAGCCTGATTGGTTGGTGGTGAGGTAATCGGGAGTCCACATCATCAACTGTCTGGTTCCAACCCATCTGGGGTCTACGTGCTTGTGGTCAGCATGCAGTTAACTCCTTCCACCTGGTGGGGTCTTAGTATCTGCAAAACAGCTCAAAGGACGTGGCTCAGAATACTATCTACAGCCCTTGAGGAGGAACTAAAGGTCCTTACTTTAATGGTACAACTATTATTTTGTCTTGCTTGACTGTTTTCCTTTGTTCCTGCATTTTCTCACTTCTCTGATTAAATTTATTCTTTGTAACTCAGGGAAGGCCTAGGAGGCTAAAGTTTTTCTACAAACAAGAGGCAGGTGGAGGACATGAAGTCTTTCCTGGGAAGGCCCCATAGAGTCCTGCTCGGTTACACATTGAACGGTTACTCTGAGCCATGCACTGTTCTAAGCACTTTATAGGTATTAGCTCGTTTACTTCTCATGCACAACCTGTCAGGTAAGTCTATTTCCATTTTATGGATGAGGAAATTGAGGCCCAGGGCAGATAAATAACTGACTCCATGTCAGGTGGCCAGTAAGTAGTGGAGCCTGAATTTGAGCACAGGGCTGGACACAGAACTACTCTTTTTATCAGTTCAGCTGCCTGAAACAAAAAGCCTGTTTAATTCTGCTCTCTGAACTGGTCAGTCCATTTCTGGGGTGTTGCTGTGTGTGAGGACACCACAAACCAAAGGGTGTCCCAAGACCAGGATGTGATAGGGCTGGAAACTCACTCCGGGGCTGAAGATTGAGAGATAAGTTAAAAACAACAAAAAAAGATATACTCCCTGTCCTGGAGGAGCTTCCAGTCTAGATGGGGAGGGAGGGAACCCTGGGCTCCCACAGACCTTACTGAAGAGGTTAGCTTCTGGGCAGTGTACTAGGTTGCACGTGAAGCAGCAGGGGGCCTTCCCCTGGAAGTACACATGTAGGTACCGAAACTCACCTGCCCAGACAACAAAGGCGATTTCCACAGTCAGGCGATTTCCACAGAGGTTAGGTTGGCTCTCAAGCCACAAACTGGTGATGAGAATATAAGCTCCAGGGAGATGGAATTTTGTTGGTTGTGTTCACTGTTATATTCCCAGGACCTAGGACAGGGCCTGGCACAGAGTGGGCACTCAATTGTTGAACATTTAAGCCAGGACATTTCACACAAAAACCTGCACTTGTTTGTTTTGAAAAATTGGAAGATTTGACAACAGTGGGCCCACGTACTGGCATGTGTGGAAGTGAGGAATACACTGGTGTTTAATATGCCACTGGTGCAGCTTCACTCAGTTACACTGTCTGGTCCTGGACTTTGTAGCCTCTGGGTTAATCACTGAAATCTCTACCAACTCTAAATGTCTATGAAATCAAATTCTGTAGTTGAATTCTGGGTGCAGAGTCCCACAGTGGAAAATTTTTCTGTTGATTAACAAATTGCATTATTTAAATATCAAGAAAATTACCTACAATGACATTTTCATTACTTAATCAAGTCATTCAATATAAATATTATTACGGTCATAATGTTAACAGAAAATAGAAAAATTATTCTGACAGCATGGGAAGAGAATGTCTTTGCTTAACTGAGGATTTTAAAAATATATTAGCATCATATACATTACATCATTATATATAGTTACACATAGATAATATATAACATATACTGGAAATTCTGATCTATTTTGGTAAATGAATCAGACATAAAAGGATTTTGCTACTATTTTTTTAAATTGTGAACTGTGTATTTCATGCAGAATATAGTGTAACTCCAGCAATAACTTTTGAACTCCAGGATCACAGAGAAGCAAAATTTAGAAACAAATGGTCACCTTAGCTAACAGTGGGGGGAACGTTTGAGCAATGTCTCAGAATTTAAAATATCTTGACAGAATCCTTTCTAGTCATCCATTCATATGTAACCCAAGACAGAAACACACTTCTGGCATCACTGGAGTGTCACATGGAATTAAAATAAACCACTTCGATGTTGTTTTCTGGTTTGGATAAGGATCATCCTTACTCTTATTAGTGCCATTCTCCACTGTTAAGAACATTTTACAATGTTGTCTAGGTAAAGTACAAATGCAGGACAAGGCTTATTTTAGATATCGAGTTTGTCTCTTCTTATAGGTACATCCAGGGATAAAGTAGCTAAATGTTACACTTTAAATTCCATTAACCAAATGTAAAATAATAGAATATTTTCCATTTTCTTCATTCTTAAACATCAGTCCAACAAGGAATAAGGAAAGTTTTGCCGATGAAGTTGGTTAGACATCCAACGTTTACCATGTAGTCTCATCACTTCTTTCTTTTATGCAAGTTTATCTACAATTTTTTCTTGTTCTTTGCCAAGGTTTTTTGTTTTTGTTTTTTATCATGGAAGTACTGCTTTTATAAACTTACGACCACCTTGGGGATGGGTGCTGGTAACTGCTAAATGCTAACAGACAAATAGATGCTGCTCCTTTAACATGTCTTCCTGGAAAAACAGACATTATCCCTCAGATACCTACTTCCTAATATATACAACAGATAATGCAGCAAAATATTCAAGACTTCTTAGGTGACCTTCCAGGTTTTTTTCCTTGACTGATTTTCTTTCGCACTAAGATCACTGTGATAAACTGCTTTAATAAAAACTTATCCACTTAGGAAAATCAGAGAGCCCAAACCATAAACCCAGTTGGAGTCAGAATGACTATGAAGATGTCAGCAGTTAAAAACAATGTTCCCTTTTAACAATGATAGATTCATCTTTCCCCACTACCCCAAGATGGGTTTTAACGTTGACTTGCTGTGCTTATCAATGTGAAAATGTTCTGATCCCTGGGAAATCATCTTCTGGAACGCAGGAAATAAAAGTTCCCAATTCTGAATGTCTGCAATAGCTGAGATAACACAGAGTCACCAATTGCTAATTGTTGGAGCCAGAAGTTAAACTGCATCCAAGAAGCTAGGATATTGGCTCTGCGTTCTGATTTACAGAAATAGAACTTTATCGACGGGAAAACACCAGGATATGTAACATAAAAAGAGACTTGGTCAAAATTACTCCATTTCATACACATAATGTTCATGTAAAAATAAAAACTTCCAAATATTTTTGATACAGAAAATAAAATATATATCAAGCGTTAACTTTCAATGAGGTTTCCCTTTTTACCTCCTTGGTACAGGTTTCAAGATGTAAGTAAAATGCAAACGAGTACACAAACACCCCCAGTATATAAATGGTGACACATATATAAAGTATTTTCCTGAGAAAATGCAAAGATGCAAGGGAAGTTTTCATGTAGGGCTCAATCTGTCATAAAGACAAAAGGTCCCCAGTGGAAGAGTTTGTTTTCATGCAAAAAACCTGGCAGGAAAAGAGGAATGCAACTCTTGGAGTTGGATTGGCAGCCTCTGAGCTCCCTTAAAGCCCTGAAGTTTATCATTCTCTGAATTAATTCTTCCAGTGAGTCCTCCCAGAATTACGTAAACTGTTCCTGAGGGACATTTTGGGAAGTTGTGTTTATTCTTTTAGGCCACCAGCAGAATATAAAAGAATGCAGTTCTTGAGAGCTGACCATGAGCATATATCCATTAGCTAAGCAAGGAACCTAAAACAATGGGCTTTTCTAAAACTTCACCATACCGAGGAGACATAAAGTCACCGAGGTCATCAAAAGGGCAGTTGGTTCATATTGTGACTCTTTAAAATGAAACATTTTTCATTAAAAAATCTTGGCTCCCACATTTTAGAAATCACCTCCCATAGTCACAGTCTTTCTTGCCCTATATTTCTACCTCCACACATACACACTGGGGCATGATTCCCAAGCTCCTCAACATTCATTCCTATCCTCCATCAGGGATCTTAAAACCCTGAACAAAAGCAGAGTGAAAGAATTGATGGGGTGAATCAGAGAAGACTCTAAATTCTTTTATTTAGCTGTAAGCAAGTAAGAGTGCAACAGAATTTCTTCTGGTGTATGAATGCTCCCAACATGTTCTTAAACAACAGAAAAACATGGAATGCTCAATTCAATGGAGAATCAACCGCGAAAGCATTTCAATAGAGTGAGAGAATCACAATGTTTCTGTTCTACTATAAGTAAATTATTTTAAAGTACATTTGACATTTCAGATTCAAATGTTACAAATTCAGATGTTTTTAGAAACTTGAAAACCCACAGAGTTTAGGAAGTCGAAGGCTGCGGACTTCCCTCCTTATTTAATCCATGCTTTGTTTTGCATTCCTCACAGGTAAGCAGGCAGTGCCTAAAACAAAAGCAAAAATGTTGGTTTGTACTTTGACACTGGAAGCTCTAGTCTGAACACAATATTATTTAGAGATTTTTTTAAGTTTTAATTGATGTATAGCTAATTTACAATGTTGTGTTAGTTTCTGGTGTACAGCGAAGTGATTCAGTTATATGTATACATACGTTTATATATATTCTTTTTCATATTCTTTTCCATTATGGTTTACTACAGGATATTGAATATAGTTCCCTGTGCTATACAGTAAGACCTTGTTGTTTATCTATTTTATATATAGTAGTGTGTATCTGTGAATCCCAAACTCCCAATTTATCCCTGCCCCCTTTCCCCTTTGGTAACCATAAATTTGTTTTCTATGTCTGTGAGTCTGTTTCTGTTTTGTAAATAAATTCATTTGTATCATATTTTAGATTATTTAGAGATTTTCTACGCTAAAGTTCTCAAGCCTAATTTTTTTCAGGAATTATCAGAGCTGTGTCTTGGTTTCAGACTCCCCGAATTTCTTCCACAAAAGGGCCATTAATGATTTTCCTGTCCAATGTTGTTTTCACCATGTTGTGCTGCATCTCAAACAGAATCCACTGTGACAAGTAAGGGCTCTTTAGAGAAATGTGTCCCCAACACTAGTCTTATAATATCATGGTAGAAATAGCTATTATTTACTGAGCTCTCACTGAGTGTCATGAACAATCATTTCTATTCCTTACACCATCCCATGAAAAAAATTCTGACCACCATATTACACAAATGAGGAAACTGAAGATTTGAGAGTTTAAGAAACTTGTCCAAGGCCACGCAGCTTAGTAAGTTAGCAGTTAGAACCCCTTTTGATCCTAGTGACTCTAACAGCAGAGGTAATGCCGCTTACTCCAGAGTCCTACTGCTTGTATCCCCTAATGAGAATCATGATTTATATTAATACAGTAAAGGCTCTGAGAAGTCCTGCAGTCAAGAGCCCTGGTTAAATCTGCGTAACCCCGTGACGGTAGAAGCTGTGTCTGCTGATCAAGGCATTCTTTAGAGACTTGTACAATGCTTTGAACATAGTAGGTACTTACTAAATGTTTGGTGAGCAAATGAAATAGGTAACCCAGATAAATCATAATTATTATTGAAGTTGAACAGCAACAACTCAAACTTTGAGGTTTTTTTCAACATATGAATGTTAAAAACTATTTTAATATTGTAAATGGTGAATGATCTTTCATTTACTTTTTAATAATCTTTATTATAATCCCTTAATCAAACAGAGTACAGGGCTTCCCTGGCAGCGCAGTGGTTAAGAATACACCTGCCAATGCAGGGGACACAGGTTCGAGCCCTGGTCCGGGAAGATCCCACATGGCACGGAGGAACTAAGCCCGTGTGCCACAACTACTGAGCCCATGTGCCACAACTACTGAGCCTGTGCTCTAGAGCCCACGAGCCACAACTACTGACCCCGTGTGCCTAGAGCCCGTGCTCCGCAACAAGAGAAGCTACCACAATGAGAAGCCCGCGCACTGCAACGAAGAGTAGCCTCCGCCCGCCGCCAACTAGAGAAAGCCCGCGCGCAGCAACAAAGGCCCAACGCAGCCAAAAATAAACAAATATATTTATTTAAAAAACCCCAGAAAAGTAGAGTACAAACCTGTTATGCCCTGGACCAAAACCAGCCCCACGCAGCTGACCTTCAAAGGAATGGAATTTACTCTGGCATACTCTTATGTATGATGCCTTTCCAAGGCCAAATCCCAAGATACCAGCAACTGTAAGATCAGGTTAGGAAAGATACATAATTTAAAGGTTTGGAATCTCCTCCATTAATGGTCTTCTCGAACTTTATTAACAGCAGTAATTCTTATATCAAAAGTACCCTCATGAATCAATGAACAAAGTCTCTGGGAATGAAGTTCCCTATTAAAGAGCAGGATTGGGAACTGGAGACTTTTGATCTCCTCAGTTTTGAACTGGAGGTAGAAGGGCCGGGATAGAGCAAGCAAGGGTGATGCCCAGACAGGGGCAGCCAGAGGGAGGTCCAACTGGCAAACAAATCTCTGAAGCCGTGGAGAGGGAGAGATGGGACTTTGGCTGTGGCTCTAGGTAGCCTCCAAATCACTGGGTAGGAGAGCCCCTTAATTTTCTTTATGGATCGGAGTATGGGGAGCTGCAGTCCATCTTGCGTGTCAGGGAGGAAGATCACGAGGCAGAACCATGGAAGACATTTTCAACCTGCTATTCTTGCTGGGAATGAGGTTTCAGATCGTAAACCGAAATACGCCCTCTGTGTACATAAAAGGTCTATGAATAACCAGTATAAGAAGGTGAAACCCTAAGTTTACGGTAAATGTACTATTAGAAAGCCCTGATTTAAAAAAACTATTCATTTGTTATGTCCGTTATAGAAAATATTTGGAAAAGACTGGCCAAAAGAAGAAAATTAAAATCTCTCATGGAGCTATCATTCAGAGACTCTGCTGTCGATGTCCTCTTGTTATCCTGCCAGGCCCTCCTAGTTCATGCTTTAGAGGACTAAGGTGAAGTCCCTACTGCTCAGCTTTCCATCAGAAAGTATCCAACGAACTAAAAACTGCAAGGTGGCAAAAAATGGAGACTGGTTTTTCAGAAAGTCAATACAGGCAATTTGGTTAACCTGGACATTCCTATCTCCAGTTGCTATAAACATCTTCTTTTTAAAAAATGAAACATTTTTTTGGCCTCTCCTGTTGCGGAGCACAGGCTCCGGGTGCACAGGCTCAGCGGCCATGGCTCATGGGCCCAGCCGCTCCGTGGCAAGTGGGATCCTCCCGGACTGGGGCACGAACCCGTGTCCCCTGCATTGGCAGGCAGACTCTCAACCACTGCACCACCAGGGAAGCTCAGAAAATGAAACTTTTTTTTTCCTTCTATGACTTACGTGCAACTTTAGGCAATGATCCAAATCTTGGATTAGCTGCTAAATAACCTAAGAAGTAATGTATAAATGCATTATTATTTCATTTTATAACTTATTTAAATTTATAAAGTATAAGAAGTCTTCAGGGTTTAAGATATACACAGATTCTTAATCTAAAGAGATGATCTTAAAAGAGATAATTCAAATCTTGATTGAATTTAACTCTCAAATAGTAGTCATTTTTGGCAAGTAACAAGTAATGGCTTTAATGTATAGAAAAAGAACATGAAACAGACAATTCATGATGTATTTAAAGATATCAAGGCAAGGTGGAGATAACAACTTAGTTCTAAGCAATTAGTCATTGCCCCCTCCCTTTTTAAAGTAACTCAACACAGAGTTTCAATTTAGAGATTCACAGTATATATAATCACAATTTTATTTATTTATTTTTGTTTGTTATTTTAAAATTAATTTTTATTGGAGTATAGTTGCTTATAATCACAATTTTAAAATGAAAGCATTTCCACCTATTGTGGGCAGAATAATGGATGTTCCTACAGATGTTCCCATCCCAATCCCTAGAAACTGTGAATATATTACCTTACACAACAAAACGGAATTAAGGTGGAAAATGGAATTAAGGTGGCTAATCGGATGACTTTAAAATAGAGAGATTATCCTGGATTATTTGGGTGGGCCCAATGTAATCACGATGACCCCTGAATGTGGAAAAAGGATTCAGAGACAGAACCAGACAGATGGCAGTATGGGAACTTGGCTCCATGCTGCTGGCTCTGCAGACAGAGGAAGGGACCATGTGCCAAGGAATGTGGGTGGGTTCCAGAAGCTAGAAAGGGAAAGGAAGCCCTAGAGCTCCCAGAAAGGAATGCAGCCCTGCTGACACTTTGATTTCAGCTCAGAAAGACCCATTTTGGACTTCCGACCTTCAAGACTGCAAGCTAATAAATTTGTATTGTTTTCAGCCACTATGTTTGTGGAAATTTGTAGAAAAGTAATACACAACCTGGAAAAACATATTTGTACAGGGCTTCCCTAGTGGTGCAGTGGTTAAGAATCCGCCTGCCAATGCAGGGGACACGGGTTCGAGCCCTGGTCCAGGAAGATCCCACATGCTGCGGAGCAACTAGGACTGTGCACCACAGCTACTGAGCCTGCGCTCTAGAGCCCGTGAACCACAACTACTGAGCCCGTGTGCCACAACTACTGAGCCTGCGTGCCTAGAGGCCGTGCTCTGCAACAAGAGAAGCCACCACAATAAGAAGCCCGTGCACAGCAGCGAAGAGTAGCCCCTGCTCTCTGCAACTAGAGAAAGCCTGCGTGCAGCAACCAAGACCCAATGCAGCCAAAAATAAATAAATATTTTTAAAAAAGAGAAAATAATTTTAAAAATATATATTTGTACAGATGTAAGAGATGGTAGATTTTGAGCAAGTAGTTTAATATTCATAAAACATAATCCCTATACATAGATGTCATGGCCATATTTGTTTTTCTGTGTCAAAAATGTTCTGAAAAAGGCTTATCACTGACTAATATATTGCCACAAAAAGACTATCTTCAAGTTATAAAAATGAAATCATATTTAATAAATCAACTTTAAAGACAACAATAATACTGACTGAAATGAGATTCTTCTAGATATATGACATGTGGTCTTTCAGACCCCAAAAGAGCTAAGCATCTTCCCTCATGTTTGCTGGGTACAAGTACTCTCTAAAATCCTAGTAATCAGCAGTGTTCAGTATAATGGGCTTCCACAGGGTCAGGTGCCTTCTTGCTGTCTGGGGACTAAGCAATGCTTATAGGTTCTCTGGTTGGATAGAGTCGGGGAGAAAGAAGAGAGCAAGGAACGAGGAATAGAGGGGAACAATGGACAGTGCTAAGAGGCACGGAGAGGTTATGTGGGTGACGCAGGGCAGCCGTCAGTCCTCATGATCTGCTGTACACGGGTGCCTCTCCTGAGGCAGATGCAGCCTCTCTCCAGGACAAATGGCTTGGTGTTCAGAGCTTGGGCGAATTTCATTTACCTCTTCCCTGGAGCACCCTTGTGCAGGGAAGTATCTGTCTAACCATATACCAAGTCCCCAGGAGACACAGGGACTCTGGTACAGAGACAGGCGCTGCAATAGTTTCCTGGGGCTGCCGTAACAAATTACTACAAACTCAGTGGTTTAAAACAACACAGATTTGGGACTTCCCTGGCAGACCAGTAGTTAAGACTCTACGCTTCCACTGCAGGGGGCACGGGTTTGATCCCTGGTCAGGGAACTAAGACCTCATGTAGCACGGCCAAAAAAACCCCCCAAAAAACCCACACAAATTTAATACATTACAGTTCTGGAGGTCAGTAGCTCAAAATGGGTCTCACTGGGTGTTTTAGTCCATTCGAGCTGCTATAACAAAATACCACAGATTGGGTGGCTTATAAACAGCAGACATTTATTTCTCACTGTTCTGGATGCTGGAAGTCCAAGATCAGAGTGCTGGCGTGGTCGACTTCTCATTGTATCCTCACATGGTGGAAGGGACCAGGGCCCTCTGTGGGGTCTCTTTTGTTAAAGCACTAACCCCCTTCATGAGGGCTCCACCCTCATGCCCTAATCACCTGCAGAGGCCCCACCTCCTAATAGCATCGCCTTGGGCTTTAGAATTCCAATCTGTGAATTTGGGGTGGGCGGGGGGAATACAAATATTCAGACCATAGTACAGGGCTACGTACGTCAAGGCATCAACAGAGCTGCAAGCCCTTCTGAAGGCTCTAAGGTTTCTTCCTTTCCAGCTTCTGGAGGCCACTCATTGCTTGACTCATGGCCCCTTCCTTCATCTTCAAACTCAGGAATGTTGAGCTGAGTCTTTCTCATGCTGCCATCTCTCTGGTTCTGTCTTCTGATCCACTCTCACTTTCAAGGACCCTTTTGATTATATTGGGCCCATCTGGATAGTCCAGAATAATCTCCCTATTTTTAAGGTCAGCTGATTAATGACCTTAATTCCAACTGCAAATTTAATTTCTCTTTGTCACGGTCACTCATTCCGGGAAATAGGACATCTATGGGAGGGAGAGCTGGGGACGCAGGCTAGAAACAGGCAAAAGCCCGCATAAATAAATTCTTCACCAAAACATAAATGCCAAGTACCAAAACCCGCCAGGAGGACCACAGAAAACTGGATTCTCTTAAGTTAAACTATGTACCAAATACTGAATCTTACCATGGTGGACCAGTCCTTGGGTGACAAGCATGCTTACGAGAGAAAAAGGCAGAGCTGTAAAACAGAAACGCCCTTCAATATTGGTATTTTAAAACTTGGCACCTAACCCAGAAGAATGAGGGAGAATTACTCTGAGTGTTTTCTCTTCCTGCTTTGGCAGTGGGATTTTAGTCATTTTTTATTTTACTAATTTGACAAATATTAAGCACCGCATGGAGAATTTTCTTGGGGTCTGCCCCAGGCACTCAGCCTAATGCACAGCATTAACGTGACAAAACCTAGACCCCCTGCCACTCCGTCTCTGAGACCCACCATGCACCGGATTCTGATCACTACATACAACACAGGCATCTTCATGTGTGTGCGCTGAGCTGGGGAATTTGGGAGTTTCCACTCGCTATATATTTTGAAATTTTCAATCCTGCATGAAAGTTAAAAAAAGAGGATGATAAACTGCACACCCTATCTACTATAGTTCCCTGCTTTTGTCTTTTATGACATTTTGTCACACAATCTGGATACGTTTATTTTCTGAAGATTACTACATTCGAGGTAAACATGGGCCATGTTTAGAGATGATTTTTATCTCTAAACAGGCAAGTTAGTCCAGAAAAGGAAGTTTCTAGTTCTGTCAAAATGTGTCAAATGACTTCTTCCCAAAGCACAGAGAAGTGATAAAAAAAAATTGGTTGCTATTTGATTTGTCTTGGTTGCTAGCTCTTCCTAGCAACCAATTTTTCCACTCAGAGCTATCTACCTGATGGTAGGCAAATGGGTCATACTGAAATGTTAAACTACTGGGGCTTAAATAAATTACTCACTCATAAGTTGTCAGAAAATTTCTAGCAGCACAATCAATAAGAAGTAATGAACAGTGAACATCAACTTCTAAGGAGTGTTACTTCCAGAAACAACTGATACTGGATTTGAATGATTTAAGAAATCAAAATGAGTATTTCAAAGTAAAATTATCCCTATGCCAGCAATATTGGGACTATATCTATAGGCTCTATTATGACATTTTCAAGTGACAAGTCACGAATTTTTAAAATTAAACGGGACCTTAATGCACAGCCTCAGTTCACACCCTTGTCTCATACAAAGCAGGTCCAGAAAGAGGAAGAGACTTGGGAGAAAAGGTTACTTCAAGACATTGTAAGGGAAGTATTAACAGAATGCTGCCACTCTTCATTCATTCCACGAATATTTAATAGGTACTTTTTATATGTGAAGCAGTGTGCTTGGCTCTGGGAGGGAGCAATGAACCTGAACTTGATGAAGGTTAGAGTCCAGTGGAATCGTGGAAAGTCTACTCTTTCAAGAAATTCTAAATAACACTCTTGGTACATGTTCTCGGTCACATGAAAGAAAGTGTTAGGTGTGCATCACTTTTTGCTAAGGGGGGTAAACAGCTCCTAAATCAGATATTATCCCTGACCTTAAAAGGGTCTCAACATGGATTTAAATTCCAAGCAGCCTCAGGTATCAGTGTCTTCAGGGAATTATGCAAAGTCCCTGCTCAAAAATAAATCAATACCATAATTCTAATATGATATTAGGCAGTTTATTACAGCAAATACAGTGTTAACAAAGATTAAGAGGGATGCAATTACCTCTCTTCCAGAAACTTTCTTCTTGACATTCCCGGATAATCTTTGAAATCTCTGATTTGTGGATGTGCAGTTTTGATTTAGGACAGAACAACAGACTCTGCAAGGAAAGTTACGTGATGACTTGACTGAAATCAGAAGAGCATCTGCTCTGCCTTCCCTAGAGGAGGGCAAGGAGGTCTCTTCACTCTGGTCACACAGTGTGCGTTCTGTCCCGGCTGCCAGCACTGAGCAATGGCCAGTTTCAGCCAGTGCTTTCCAGCTGTGAACGATGGATGGACTTAAGCAAGAAAAGAATCACAGGTGGAGAAGCAGAGTGATTCAGTGACTAGTGAGCATGAAGCAGATGTCTGGTCAGAATGCGTTACTGCTGAGGTCACATTTTCTTTCTTACTTCCGGCCTCTGTCCATGCAGTCCCTGTCCCTGCAATGAAACTCATCCCCTTTGCCTACCTGGTCTTCTTAAGACCCAGTTCAAGATCTCCTCCTGGGTGAAGAGAGAGACTTCCCCTACAGCATAATATTTACACATCTGGGATCACACTCAGAGCAGTGTTACAAGTTATCTATGTATAGATCTGTATTCCAATTTACCTATTTATACTTCTATAAGCATTTTTAGACTGTGAGAAACTACAGTCTAAAGAGCATCAGCAGACTGCTTTTTATTTTTCTACATACTTTACTTTTTATCTTAACAGTTTTTTTAAACACATTTATAAATGGTCTGCACATAATATCTGGGGGAACTACTGACATGGTTGACATTCTTTTTATTACTTTTTTTTTTTATCATGTTGATGTGCTACAATCTGGACTAACTCCCATCTTTATTATCCTCCCCTTTTGTAGGTATGTATGTGGTTATTCACTTACTCTCACCCACATTCTCCATCCTTGTTCTCTGCCCATCACCGCCATTCTGGGTGTTTAATGTGGATATTTTGTTTGCATATATGCTTGAAAAATGTTCATTGTTTTGGGTGCCTGCATTTTTTAATGCAAATGGCATTGTTTTATGCATTTAGTTTTATTTTTAAAAATGTTTTCAACTCAGCTCTACACTTTTACGATCTATCCACGTTGCTATATTTATCTAGTCCACTGTTTCTAACTGCGGCATGATTCTCCAGGATGCTTCTGAGTCCCCATCTCCAAATGTCCCCTTACAGACCCACACGAGAACACTTTTCAGATATGTATCTAGAAGTAAAATACAGGGCATGCATATTCCAGTTGAACAAAGTCTTGCGAGAGTGCTCTCCCCAATGGCTACACCAGCACCCACTCCCATCAGCAGCGTGTGAACATTCCTCTATATGCCTAAGAACCACGTAAGAGCTAGTTAAGCTGGATTCCAAGCAGGTTAGAGTAAAGAAAGGATTTTGTAACACTCGGCATTATCCAGTTTTCTAAAATTTAACAGTCTAATAGGTATAAAGCAATATTTTATTGTCTGATAACTAATGTGTTTGAGCATCTCTATGTAGTCTTCAGCCAGACTGTCTTTCTCTGTTGAGGCAATCCCTGCAACTAGACCTCGCTTGTAATCTTTTCTTGTTCAGTGACTCGTTAATTTTTTATTGTGGTAAAATACACATAACATAATAGTTACCATTTTATACATGTTTTCATCCTCCCATATACTTTATTTTTTTTTTCATTTTATATTGGAACATAGTTGTTTTACAATGTTGTGTTTAACCATTTTAAAGTATACAGTTCATGGCATTCAGTATATCTACAATGTGTGCAGCCATCACCACTATCTAGTTCCAGAGCTTTTTCATCACCCCAGAAGGAAATTCCATACCCAGTAAGAAGTCTGTCCTCATTCCCTCCTCTCTCCAACTGCCTAGCAACCACTAATCTGCCTTTTGGATTTGCCTATTCTGGGTATTTGGTACAAATAATATCATACAGCATGTGACCTTTCGTGGCTGGCTTCTTTTCCTTTGCATAATGTTTTCAAGATTCACCCACATGGTAACATGTATCTGTATTTCATTTCTTTTTATGGCTCAATAATATTCCATTGTATGAATATAACACATTTTGTTTCTCCATTCATCCATTGATGGACATTTGGATTGCTTCCACCATTGGCTATTGTGAATAATGCTGCTATGAACATTCCTGCACAAGTTTTTGTTTTCAGCTCTGCTGGGCCATACTGCAACTCTACGTTTAACTTTTTGAGTTTTGAACAGGAGCTGCACCATTTTCGAATCCCACCAACAATGTAGGAGGTTTCCAATTTTTCCACATCCTTGTCAACATTTGTTATTTTCTGTTTTGTTTCTTTTTTTTGGCTCCGCCATCCGGCTTACGGGATCTTAGTTTCCCGACCAGTGACTGAACCCACGTGTTTTGTTTCTTTTTTTTAATTAGCACTTTAAATGTTTTTAATATAAATTATTCAATTTATTTAAACTAAATAAACTAAATTCTTTCTGTTTTTGACTGTGGTCATGCTAGTGATTGTGAAATGGTGGTTTTGATTTGTATTTCCTTAATGACTAATGACATTGAGCATCTTTTCATCTGAATCTTGGCTATTTATATATCTTCTTTGGAGAAACACCTATTCAAGCGCTTTACTCATTTTTCAGTTGGGTTGTCTTTTTGTTATTGAGTTGTAAAAGCTTTCTATATACTCTGGATACTAGACCCTTATCAGATATATGATTTGTAAATAATTTTTCCCATTCTGTGGGTGGTTCATTTGTTTCTTAGAAACAAATTTTATTTAATTTTTTCCTTAAGTCACACTGCTATTTCCTTGTTTGTGAATTACTTATGTAGGTGCTCTGCCATTCATCTCTTGGAGTTTTAGTGTTTTTCTTGTTGAGGTGCAGTTCCATGGCTTTTGAAGTTCACCTTGCTGGTTTTGCAAATGTTCTTTTTTGACTCTTTGTTTGTAGTATATGTCAATGTGAATGGTCATCACTATTTCCTGAGCACTCGCTCACAGGCCAGGCACTGTGCCAAGCACTTTACGTGCATGATGGCGGCATGCGAGCATCCTGTGGCACCTGTGCCTTCAGAGCTCTACAAACAGCCCAAGCAGGCAACCTCCCTCTTCTTCCTCCACAACTCCCCATAGCACAGCACACGGAAGTGCTGGTCAGGGTGAGTCACAGTGACCAGGGAAGAATCTGGTCACCACTTACGTTAGCTCAGCAGACACTCTTCCTCATCCCAGTGTAAATACTTCTTCTTGGTTCTGCCTGTGGCTGCGGCAGAAATAAGCAACACCTCCCTCCCTCTCCTCCCGCGAAACACACACACATATACACATCCATGGTCAGGGACCCCAACTATCACAACTGCTGTGAGTCCTGCAGTCAAGACCGAAGCTCCTGCAGTGTCCCCAGGGAGCTCTGGTGATCCTTTTCGGTAGAACCATAAATGTTTTATGGCTCTCCATTTCACAGAGGCAACTCGGGTGCCTAAATTCCCTATGATGTGGTATCATTTGTCTATTTGCCTCTCCTAAACTTTGCTCCTTAAATATCACCTCCTCCATAACCCATTTTTAGCTTGAAAAGGTTGACTCCAGAGAACATGAACTCTACTATCCCATCACAATACTTGCTCTTTTCTTCACTTACGTGTCCCCGAAACAAACAGTATTCATTCTCAAGAAGTTGAAAAACTGTGTCCCTGTTAACACTGGGGTTCTCAATCTGATGGCTAATTTAGTAGTTAAGGACTCTGCCATCCCAAACAGGAACACCTGTCAGCAGCATATCCTTAGTATGATTAGCCTTGATAACAGAAATGAAAAAACATGCATCCTGTAGCATTCCGTTAGATTCAATTAAGAGTTTTGTTCTGGTAAAGGAAACCTCTTCAGTCACTGACAACCTATGGAAGAGTTAGTTAAGCTGAATTCTAAACAGGGAAGAGTAAAGAAAGGATTTTGTAAATAATTGAAAAGGCTCCTTTTCAAGGCAGCCAAAAACACACTTTCCTTCCCCATTCTATTTTCCCTGAACCCATCCTACAAAGTGCCAGACTGAAAAAACTAAGTCCTGTATGATGTTCCTCTTTAGATGGCAGACTTTCAAATTAGAAATATACCTGCTTGCTTGGTGGTGGCAAATGGGGACCTTTATCTTGGTTTTCATGCGTAGACACTGAAGCCATGATGACTTTGTCTTTGCTTCTCTTCTAGTTGAGTGGACTCAGCTTCCTCATTTGACCCGATGTCTAAGGAAAGTAGAAGAGAGTCACCATGCCGTGACTGAACATTTACGTCAACCGTAAAAACACCCTTAGGATCAACTCCCCTATTTGGCGAACTTATTTTCATTTTGTCATTAACCTTCATCTCCAGCCACCTGCAAACTCACTTTCTAATGCTCCTCCTCTACCAACACACACACATTAACTGACTAATGGTGACAGATCAGAGGAAGAGTGGAGTGAGATGTCACCTGAGGCACAGTGAAATGTTTTATGACCTATAAACTGTCCTCAAAAAATTTCAATTCATTACAAGGTCATTAGCTACACAAATATTTACTGTCTATTATGTGCCAGGCCAAGGGATACAAAGGATAAGACAAAATCAGTGCTAAAGGAACTCACAGGGGAAGACAGACAAGTCGGCAGTTACACAACATGCAAAGGGCTTCCCTAGAGGCATGCACACGGTGCTAAGGAAGAAAGGCTTGTTCTCTCTGGTCAGGTCTGAAGACACCAAAGACCAAGATTCTTGAGCTTTCAAAAGGGTCTATGGGGCTATTGGAACGTCACGCTGCCCTCTGCTACCACAGGCTCGCCCTGCATTCCATACCCCTCCCTCCCCCCAGCCTGAGTGAGCCAGAGCCCCCTAATCAGCTGCTCCTTTAACCCCATCCTGTCTGAGCCAAGAACAGATGCCCTCAGGCGACCTACACGCAGAGGCAGGGCAAATCCAAAGCTGAGCCCCTGGGAGCTGTGCAAACAAAGAAGAGAAAGGGAAATCTCTCCCCGCAGCCTCAGGAGCAGCGGATTAAAGCTCCACAATCAACTTGATGTACCCTGCATCTGTGGAATACATGAACAGACAACGAATCATCCTAAATTGAGGAGGTGGACTTTGGGAGCAACTGTAGACTTGGGGTTTGCTTTCTGTATCTAATTTTCTCTGTTTTTGTTTGTTTGTTTTTTGCGGTACGCGGGCCTCTTACTGTTGTGGCCTCTCCCGTTGCGGAGCACAGGCTCCGGACGTGCAGGCTCAGTGGCCATGGCCCACGGGCCCAGCCGCTCCGCGGTATGTGGGATCTTCCCGGACCGGGGCACGAACCCGTGTCCCCTGCATCGGCAAGTGGACTCTCAACCACTGCGCCACCAGGGAAGTCCTGTCTCTGGTTTTATGTTTATCTTAGTTTAGTATTTAGAGTTTATTATCACTGGAAGATTTGTTTATTGATTTGGCTGCTCTCTATTTTTTTAATATATATATATTTTTTTCCTTTTTCTCTTTTTGTGTGTATGTGTATGCTTCTTTGTGTGATTTTGTCTGTATAGATTTGCTTTTACCATTTGTCCTAGGGTTCTGTCTGTCCGTTTTTTTGTTGTTGTTGTTTTTTATAGTATAGTTTTTAGCGCTTGTTATCGTTGGTAGATTTGCATTTTGGTTTGGTTGCTCTCTTCTTTCTTTTTTTAAATTACTTTTTAATTTTTTTATTTTTAATAATTTTCTTTATTTTAATAACCTTATTTTATTCTTTCTTTCTTTCTTTCTCTCTTTCAATCTTTCTTTCTTTCTCCTTTTCTTCTGAGCCATGTGGCTGACAGGTGCTCTGGCCGGGTGCAGGCCTGTGCCTCTGAGGTGGGAGAGCTGAGTTTGGGACATTGGTCCACCAGAGACCTCCAGGCTGCACATAATATCAAACGGTGAAAGCTCTCCGAGACATCTCCATCTCAACACTAAGACCCAGCTCCACTCAACAACCAGCAAACTACAGTGCTGGACACCCTATGCCAAACAACTAGCAAGACAGGAACATAACCCCACCCATTAGAAGAGACGCTGCCTAAAATCATAATAAGGCCACAGACACCCCAAAACACACCACCAGACGCGGTCCGGCCCACCAGAAAGACAAGATCCAGCCTCATCCACCAGAAGACAGGCACCAGTCCCCTCCACCAGGAAGCCTACACAACCCACTGAACCAAACTTACCCACTGCGGGCAGACACAAAAAACAACAGGAACTACGGACCTGCAGCCTGCAAAAAGGAGACCCCAAACACAGTAAGTTAAGCAAGATGAGAAGACAGAGAAACACACAGCAGCAGAAGGAGCAAGGTAAAAACCCACCAGAAAAAACAAATGAAGAGGAAATAGGCAGTCTACCTGAAAAAGAATTCAGTGTAGTGATAGTAAAGATGATCCAAAATCTTGGAAATACAATGGAGAAAATACAAGAAACATTTAACAAGGACCTAGAAGAACTAAAGAGCAAACAAACAATGATGAACAACACAATAAATGAAATGTAAAATCTCTAGAAGAACTCAATAGCAGAAAAACTGAGGCAGAAGAACGGATAAGTGACCTGAAAGATAAAATAGTGGAAATAACTATTGCAGAGCAGAATAACGAAAAAAGAATGAAAAGAATTGAGGACAGTCTCAGAGACCTCTGGGACAACATTAAACGCAACAACATTCGAATTATAGGGGTCCCAGAAGAAGAGAAAAAGAAAAGGACAGAGAAATTCTTGAAGAGGTTATAGTTGAAAACTTCCCAAAATAATTAATCAAGTCCAGGAAGCACAGAGAGTCCCATACAGGATACATCCAAGGAGAAACACACCAAGACACAGATTAATCAAACTATCAAAAATTAAATACAAAGAAAAAATATTAAAAGCAGCAAGGGAAAAGCAACAAATAGGACACAAGGGAATCCTCATAAGGTTAACAGCTGATCTTTCAGCAGAAACTCTACAAGCCAGAAGGGAGTGGCAGGACATATTTAAAGTGATGAAAGGGAAAAACCTACAACCAAGATTACTCTACCCAGCAAGGATCTCATTCAGATTCAATCGAGAAATTAAAACCTTTACAACCAAGCAAAAGCTAAGAGAATTCAGCACCACCAAACCAGCTTTACAACAAATGCTAAAGGAACTTCTCTAGGCAGGAGACACAAGACAAGTAAAAGACCTACAATAACAAACCCAAATCAATTAAGAAAATGCTAACAGGAACATATATATCGATAACTACCTTCAATGTAAATGGATTAAATGCTCCAACCAAAAGACATAGACTGGCTGAATGGATACAGAAACAAGACCCATATGTATGGTGTCTACAAGAGACCCACTTCAGACCTAGGGGCACATACAGACTGAAAGTGAGGGGATGGAAAAAGATATTCCATGCAAATGGAAATCAAAAGAAAGCTGTAGTAGCAATCCTCATATCAGACAAAATAGACTTTAAAATAAAGACTATTACCAGAGACAAAGAAGGACACTACATAATGATCAAGGTATTAATCCAAGAAGATATAACAATTGTAAATATTTATGCACCCAACATAGGAGCACCTCAATACATAAGGCAGATGCTAACAGCCATAAAAGGGGAAATTGAGAGTAACACAATCATAGTAGGGGACTTTAACACCCCACTTTCACCAATGGAAAGATCATCCAAAATGAAAATAAATAAGGAAACACAAGCTTTAAATGATACATTAAATAAGATGGACTTAATTGATATTTATAGGACATTCCATCCAAACACAACAGAATACACTTTCTTCTCAAGTGCTCATGCAACATTCTCCAGGATAGATTATACCTTGGGTCACAAATCAAGCCTTGGTAAATATAAGAAAATTGAAATCATATGAAGTACCTTTTCTGAACACAAGGCTATGAGACTAGATATCAATTACAGGAAAAAATCTGTAAAAAATACAAACACATGGAGGCTGAACAATACACTACTTAATAAACAAGAGATCACTGAAGAAATCAAAGAGGAAATCAAAAAATACCTAGAAACAAACGACAATGAAAACATGATGACCCAAAACCTATGGGATGCAGCAAGAGCAGTTCTAAGAAGGAAGTTTATAGCAATACAATCCTACCTTAAGAAACAGGAAACACCTCAAATAAACAACCTAACCTTGCACCTAAAGCAATTAGAGAAAGAAGAACAAAAAAAACCCCGAAAGTTAGCAGAAGGAAATAAATCATAAAGATCAGATCAGAAATAAATGAAAAAGAAATGAAGGAAACAAGAGCAAAGATCAATAAAACTACAAGCTGGTTCTTTGAGAAGATAAACAAAATTCATAAACCATTAGCCAGACTCATCAAGAAAACAAGGGAGAAGACTCAAATCAATAGATTTAGAAATGAAAAACGAGAAGTAACAACTGAGACTGCAGAAATACAAAGGATCATGAGAGATTACTACAAGCAACTCTATGCCAATAAAACAGACAACCTGGAAGAAATGGACGCAGTCTTAGAAAAGCACAACCTTCCGAGACTGAACCGGGAAGAAACAGAAAATATAAACAGACCAATCACAAGCACTGAAATTGAGACTGTGATTAAAAATCTTCCAAAAAACAAAAGCCCAGGACCAGATGGCTTCACAGGCGAATTCTTTCAAACATTTAGAGAAGAGCTAACACCTATCCTTCTCAAACTCTTCAAAAATATAGCAGAGGGAGGAACACTCCCAAACGCATTGTACAAGGCCACCATCACCCTGATACCAAAACCAGACAAAGAGGTCACAAAGAAAGAAAACTACAGGCCAATATCACTGATGAACATAGATGCAAAAATCCTCAACAAAATACTAGCAAACAGAATCCAACAGCACATTAAAAGGATCATACACCATGATCAAGTGGGGTTTATTCCAGGAATGCAAGGATTCTTCAATATATGCAAGTCAATCAATGTGATACACCATATAACAAATCGAAGGAGAAAAACCATATGATCATCTCAATAGATGCAGAAAAAGGTTTCGACAAAGTTCAACACCCATTTATGATAACCCCCCCCCCAGAAAATAGGCATGGAGGGAACTTATCTCAACATAATAAAGGCCATATATGACGAACCCACAGCCAACATCATTCTCAATGGTGAAAAACTGAAACCATTTCCACTAAGATCAGGAACAAGACAAGGTTGCCCACTCTCACCACTCTTATTCAACACAATTTTGGAAGT